AATTGTCATTTTGATATTGCTCATACTTCTATCAACACCATCTCCAACAAGATCTCTATCTCTCCTTTCATGCCCAGCTCTTATATCTTTCATTCTTTCTAACTCGACATCCATCAATACATCCTCATTAATGTCACTATCCGCTTCCCATTCAAGATCAAAATCCGCTCGACGATCTCGCATTCCTTGTCTCCTTGCGTTAAAAAAATACCTAGGTTGTTCCCTACGTAAGTTAGCAAGCAATGTGTTTTGCCGATCCAATCTGTCTCTCACATCCTCAAACAACCTTTCAAACCGTTGTATCACTTCATCTGACATGTTGACTTGACTATTATTCCTGCGTGAAGTAGAATCATCTCTATTCGACATCCTAATTCTAATTTAATATTTGTCGCACGTGTATGTGCTCGTGTATCACTGAAATTGACCTTTTCCATCTATTAGTCTCATCACTCTTTCCTTCTTTCCACACAATGCTTTCTTGCAAGTGTATCAAAGAACTAATTCGATCTCAATCAAAATTAATCCATGTAGAGTTTCAAACAAAAATTTGAGTAAAAAAACTGACTCTAGAATGACTCAAAAAGTAGGAATTGACATTTTCAATGGACATTAAGGAAAGATTCAAGTTTTGAATTTGAATTGATAATTTTTTTTTTTACTTAAAAAAAGAAATTGTATGCTGTTGGCAAATTTTTTCCAAATTTTTATTTATTTTTTTTGCTTGAAAATTCAATTAAGTATTAGTGAGAAATAAAATTGATTTGGATGCTAAATGAGCGCACAAACAAGTTTTGAATTTTTTTTTTTGGGATTGGAGGCCCAAAAATGTGAAGAACACGAAGAATGAAGAACAAAAGACTAAAACAAAAGGGAAAAATTTATGTCTGTAATGAAGAGTTCTCATTCATTTGTCACGTTGTCAACCTTGTTTCCTCTCTATGTATATCTGTTAAACAAGTAGCAACTAATTTGCTCTCATTTTCATCCAAAAATTCGCCCAAATATTTTTTTGCTACTTTTTAATCACACGTTAACCTGAAAGTTACTGTTCAAAACTCTGGGGGTGTTTGTTTTTTATTTGAGAATTGATTCTCAAATCAATTCACATTTTCAACCACACATTTTTCAATGAAATAATATTTTTCATCACATTAATACTTTTTTCTTCTTTTTCAACCACACATTTCCCATCATATCACTATTCAAAAATCAATTCTTCCCCCAGAAATCTCTACCAAACAAGCACTCTATTTCCCCTAATAATGCTTGTAAAACAAGGGTGTAATTACATTTTAGTCCTTCAGATATTCAACCCGATTTTAAGTTCAAATCCCATATATTAGCACTGCAGATAATTTGTTCAAGAATTAGGATTTTATCCTCTTTTCCGCCACCACCGCCAACGGCCTTATTCCGCCTGCAGAATGGCTTTAAACCTCCTCTCATTCTCGGCTCGACCGTCGCCCACCTTCTCCGCCGCCACGTGTCAAGCCTCCGCCGCCACTTTCTCAGTGCACAGCCTTACTCCTCCGCCTCCGCCTCCGCCTCCTCCACCGCCACAACCACCTCTGCTGTCGCTCCCTCAAAAATCTACCCCAACGCCTCTCCCTTCATCTTCCTGTTCTCTTAACTGCCCCCATTTTCAATTGTATGTGCTCTGCGTCTCAATTTCTCATAACACGCTAACGCGTGACGGAATTTGTGTGTTTAATCAATATGCATTGTCCTGTTTGAATTTACAGCTGTTCGGGTTGTACTCACGAGTACAGCCTCCATCATCCGCCGATTCTGGACGAGGCAATTGACTTCTTCGAGAAACTCGGTGTGTCAGGCTTCGATTTTGATACTTGCAGACTGGTATATACATATGCTTGATTGCTTATATTTATGTAAATATTTACTTATTTGCTATGTTTTATTGGTTTCAGTATTTTAGTTTACACAATTAGGGTAGCGGGAAAATTTCTTTACTTTGAATTTGACAGTGGGGATGGAGGTGTCGTGCAAAGCTAGCAGTTCGGGGTTCATCAACCAAGCCTTTGATTGGGCTTTATCAAGAACGCACTCACGATATAGTTGATATTCCTGAATGCAAGGGTATCAAATTTGCTTGTTTAAACTTTAAGATAATCTGTTTGTAATGCACCATTGGGTTGAATGTATTTTCGATGTGTAGCTCATCATCCAAGTATTAATGCAGCTGTGGAGCTACTGAAACAAGGTTTGTTTTTTATTCCATCTTTTAGTTCGGGTTATTTTTCTTTCTTTTGTCGAGGAGGACCAGGGCGACCTGCGATGCTCACAGTGTCCACTTCTTTTAATGTATGTTTTATTTATTTATTTATTTTTTTACTTTAGGAATGTCTAAATTGAATATTGAGCCGTATGATGAAGATCAAGGAACTGGAGAACTGAGATATGTACAGGTGACTCATATTCTTGGATATAATATACTCTAATGTTTCTTGATTAACTGTTGGATATCGTCAATTCAATGTGTGAAGCTTAGCCTTTTACCCACCCCGTCCCTGGGAAAAAATTAATTAAAGGCAAAAAGTTGTGTGATGAATGGTAATTGATGTGTTTCTTATGTAATAGATGACAATGGTTATATGCAGATGGCTGTGACTACATACAACACATCTCTACCTGCTTCTCAAAGATACAAAAACGGTTAATAGCTTGGCTCATATTTCATGGGTAGACCTTAAAAGTTTCCACTCTTGGGCTGATTATTTTGATGAACAATTCCAGGTAAAGTGCAGGTTGCTTTGGTTTGGAACTCCGGAAATGAGAACTCGCCTAGTTCGGAAAAGTTAAATGATCTGGCCAGTGTAAGACCATTGTGGACTTCATTCTTTGGTTTATTTGATCTCCTATCTGCAAAGTTGATTGAATTCTGACTTTTAGTTCCTATGGAGAAATGGTGGGACAAAAGGGAAAGTCCATTTGATTCATTCTATCTGGGCTAACTTTCAGACATCAACAAATAATGTGAGTATGACTCTCTCTCTCTCTCTCTCACATGTGCAGGGTGCATTTTTTGCATGTGTATCATTTGAGCAAGATTCACATACGGTTAAATATATGAATGTGCATAAAGATTAATGGTTATGTTCTCTAAAGTGTGTAATATTATATACGGATATATTGTACCTCTCTGAAGTAAATGCGTCGACAGTTATTGTTTAAATTTTCCTAGACAATTTTGTCTCTATATTTTTCCTCTCTCTTGTTTATTAGCTCTTGTGATGACAATAAAATGAAAAAAGTAGAGGTGCGGACGATAGAAACATTAATGAAATTAAAAAGTAAAATTCTATTCAAACTGATTTTGTAAAATCCTGCTATCCGTGGGACCACGGGTCCAAACAGCATGATGCTTCTCTTTCACTTTCTGTGAGCAATAATTTTTTTATCTTGTTGAGTTCTGTTGATAAATAATGGGGAAAATGGTAGATGGAGAAGCCATTGAATCATATGTAATTATCATGAGATTAAACTCAAAAAATTCAAGCTTTCAAATATAATAAAGAAACTTCTGATTGTGAAAAATAAATATTCTCTTAGTAAGTGTTTATGATAAATCATTCAGGAACTGGGCTATATTCAGAAATTTCTGTAGGATTGCCTTATGAATGTTTCTGGTTGGTGGTGCAGATTATTTTTGGCAATAGATGGAGACATCTTTTAGGTGAAAGAGACTTCTGGGAGCATGTTGGAGGAATTGACGTTTCTCTGGCACCGTCAAGCTTTGGGCAAGCAAATACACGGGTAGCCGTCTGAAGAAAGAAACTTCAGTTATTTATTTGTTTGACGGAATTTATTTCCAATTATTCCCCACTTATATTCCAACTTTTGATTGCTCTGAATTATTTGGGCACTTTTCAAGAATTTAATGTCACAAATATGAGTAACAGCACCTGACATACTGTCAAAAAACTTGTTTAGATCATAACATGATGGTCTTTTTTGACAGGCATTTGATTTTCTACTCCGTAAGTTACACAAGTATGTTCCTTATGGTGCTTCAGTTGTTGATCTCTATGCTGGAGCTGGTGTCATTGGATTATCTTTGGCTACCACGAGGAAATGCCGGTGAGAACAGTGATGATTTCAGGGGCCTTAATTTTAGTTCATGTTCTACCTGTCAATATGCAATACGCAATCCCTTTTATATATTTCTATGTGTTTATAGGTCAGTAAAATGTGTCGAGGTTAACAGAGAGTCAAAGGTTTCTTTTGAGAAGACAGCTGCTCGTTTATCAGAAACCCTAGATGGCAGCATCAGTTGGCATCATGCAGACGCGTCGAAAGTTAGTTCTTCATTTTTATTCATGCTTATGTTGATATTTTACTTGTACATATCATGAGTACTGACTATCATGCACGTGCATATGTCCAAGTTCACTTATGCATGGACATAGACTATACACTCACAGGTGCCTATTCCTTTTCTACATCTTTCTGGATATGCATGGCATGCCCGTGTGAACATTAAGACATACACATATAAGCAGACATCAGTTTCTTGTGTTGTCTATCAAATCTAAATACGATCGTATGCAATTATATTGTATTTTTAACTCTTTTCTGCAAAAATCTCTAAAATTGTCTCCAATCTATTATATTTTCAAATTTGGACAGTTTACACGCTGTAGTTTAGAATATGACCAACACTGTCTATTTAAAACTTGAAGGCATGCATACAGAAGAGAATATTTCTTGGACTATGTTCATTGGAATAGCAGATATTTAGTAATAAATCAATTATCCCCCACCCTACCCCTCCAAAAAAGGCATGATAGGTTAAGGAAAGGGGGAAAAAAAGTAAAAGGAAATGAGAACATACCTTATTTCTACACTGAAGTTGATGCAATACATCCCCCAAAAGTAGTGGAAGCACTGAGAGAAGGTGCTTCCTTTCATGCACTGAGCTAATGTCAAATTCACTTGATTTTGTGTGCATCTGCTGATTCTGGATTCTGATGAATAAAAATATATTATCTTCATGTGAAGTGATACGGAGTTTTAGGAGTTCCTAGTGATGTTTGCTGATGATATTAGTAGTCTGAAGTGGCATGGTGGACTTAGTTTATAGATTCAAGATTTGGTTCGGCAATGATTGATCATGTTGAAGATATAGAAAGAATAATCTCTATGATATTTTTCCAATAGTGTA